TCATGTAGAGGTACAAGATCCCAACAATGAATATAACTGTACTGTATCCCTAAAATGTACCAATAAACTCAATTAAAGCTGACAAAAAAAAAAAAGAAAAGAAATGTCACCCAAATAGTGGTCATTAAAATGTCCTTGACAAAAATCTACCTACAACATTTTTAGAAGCTCAGGAAATCTTTAGGTCAGACTTTCCTCAGCAAGCACCATCAGCTGCCCTGGGCTGGTCCTGGGAAAGGGCTGTGCCAGGCAACAAGGACTACTCCCCTGATCCTGCTCTGCAGACATGGTCTAGACCCAGATATGGCTCATTCCAGACCAGGACAGCCCAGGACTGGCACAGGCAGGCCCATGGGGGAGGGGAGGCTACAGCGCAGGGAAGTGCAGTCAAGGCAACAGCATTAGAGCTGGGAGAAATGATCAGGAAGGTGAGAAACCAAACATTGTATAAATTCTCCAATTTGTGACCATCTTTATGACTAGAAGTATGCTAAAGAGATTCAGAAACATATGCTATTGTTTTAGTTTTTGTTGTTGTTGTTGTTGCTTTGTATTTGAGACAGGGTCTCAGGTAGCTCAGAATAGATGTTTTTGTAATTTCTTTTAGCATGTAATAGTGGACACAAATTAATTTAAAAACGCAGACATCTCTGGGAAGACAACAGGTTCTCAGCCCAAGTTTTAAATCACTTGGAACTTAAAAAAAACCCAAAGCCTAAGCCCCAAGTAAAGCAATAAAGCCAAAATCCCTAGCAAAATGCCTGGCCCTAGCATTTTTGTTGTGGTTTTGGGTGCTGGGATGGTGATGGGTCCCAGGGCCTTGCAGCCTGAGCTCCCAGGCCCCAAACCATAGGGCTGTTTCAAAAGCTCCCAGTTACATGCATCCATGCCCCTGAACTCCAGTGCCACCCTTCCCCGGGTGTATTACAGTGGCATGGGGAAGGCAGAAGCATATTGAGCTGGCAAGAGATCAGCTGATTGGCACTCAAAAGGCCCCTGGAGTGTCCATGGCAGACCTGAGCAGGTACCATACTTAGGGGGCAACATGAGACTTGTGACAGGCAGGCAGCACTCTGGCCATGTGCCACTCTGCAGCAGCAAGGGCCTCCCATTCCCTGAAGACCAACCCCCATGCATCCCCTCTGAGAAGGCTTCCCTCATCTGAGCCCACCCCTGGCTGCACCCTTGCACCTGCCCAGTAATGCTCTGTGGGGGTCTTTATTCATTGCACTCAGTGTGTGCTCTCGTCTGTCTTTTAAGTTTGGGTCACTGGGTCCCAGAGCAGTGCATGGCACATAAATACTAAGGAAGGGGGCCAGGCATGGTGATGCTCACCTGTAATTTTTAGTTATTTGGGAGGCTGAGGCAAGAAGATCATGAGTTCAAAACCAGACTAGACAACATGATGAGGCACCTGACTCAAAAAAAAAGAGATACTAAATGATGATTCAGTGGATACACGAATAGGAGAATGTGTGAATTAGGAATATATTAAGGACAAATTTGCTTATCATCAAATATTCGACCTGGGCATGGTGGCACACACCTGTAATCCCAGCTATTTGGGAGACTGAGGCAGGAGGATTATTAATTCAAGGCTGGAGTTCAAGACCAACCTGGACAACTTAGTGAGACCTGATCTCTAAACAAAAATTAAAAAGGGTTGGGGGTGTAGCTTAGTGATTGAGTACCCCTGGATTCAATCCCCTGTACCACAAACACAAGATGAAAAACAGAAATAGTCACAGTGTCCAGTGCATTTCAGCCCAAGAGCTCAGATGGAGTCTGTTAAAGTCGCTCTTTCACATGGAAACCTGGTCTGCATGTGTAGCAGTTTCTGTGAGGTGAGTGAAATACATTCTGTTTCAAATAACCAACTTGCAGATGGATTTTTTTTTGTCCATTTGTCTGCGATGCTGGGGAGAGAACCTTGGGCTTCACATGTGCCAGGCAAGCATTCTGCCACCGAGCCCTGCCCCCCACTCAGATGATTTTAGATCATAATGCCTTTCTGATTTAAGGCTAAAAGAGCTCTTCTTCCAAAGTTGGGGCTAAAGAGAATGCTCACCTCTTACTCTCTGGCAGGCATACTGTGATCTGAGTCCAGATCTACACCATTCCTTTCTCTTTTGCATTTAGAGATGGGGTCTCATGTGGTCCAGGCTGGCCTCCAGCTTGAGGCACAATTCCTGCCTCTGCATCCTGAGTGCTAGGATAACAGCATGTAGCACCTCATCTGGCCCATTTCAGGGCTTTTCACAACGCAGCATGTAATTTTGTTTTCTCTAATAATTTCATGAGTCAATGGGGCAGATATTTGGCCAGTGTTTAAAACAATGGCCAACATTCACAGGGTACCTGCCTGGTGCCAGCACTCTTCCAGAACTCAGGTTCCTTTCTTCTTCCAAAACAAAAAACAGAAACCAAGCTCAGGAGGCTGACTCTGCCCTCAGGCCAGAAAAACCCAAAAAGGATTGGCTGAGGTACTGACCAGCTGTCCTCACTCTGCTGGGGGCAGAGCAGGGGGAGCCAGCAGCAGCCTCCTCTTCCACACCTACGGGTAAAGCAGGAAGTCACGTAATAAACCACCCATGCATGAGTCTCAGACAGGCAGTCAAGGGCCAGGGAGCGAGCTACCCCAGTGGAGTGGGACCAGGCTGCTGAGAGACAAGAGACTGTTCAGGGAAAAACTTGCATCTGTATATATATATTTTTTTATCCTCCTGCCTCAGCCTCCCAGGTGCTGGGATTACAGGCATGCAGTACCATGCCTGAGTACACTGAAATATTTTTAAGTGGCTTAACAATAATTGAGAAGTAAGGTTTCTTCCTGGAGAGATGAGGAGCAAAGGAGGAAGCTTGTAGAAAGATAATAGATGGTCTTTTGCTTCCTCTGTGGTGTGTGCTGGGGAACAGAGGCAGGAAAACATCTTTGATCTGAGAAAGAATGCAATCACCCTGCTGGGGAGGATATGGTAAAGGGGACTTTGTAAGTTCTGAGCTCCCACTCTCAAAAGACTTTATGAGCGCAGGGTGACTTGTCCTTTGCCTGCAGAAGTTGTAGCCTTACTTTAAGTAAAAACAGGGAGTCGGTTCACTGAAAGCTTTGCACTGAACTAAAAACAGATCCCCAGGGGCAGAGTCACTATGTGAGTGACTTTTCTATTGTAGGTCTGCCCTAGAGGCAGTGGGCATCCCTGCTTCCAGCTATGAACATTTGGGGGAATCTTGTGTTGTCTGAGGAAGGGCCAAGCAAAGTTTCGTAAGTAAGAGAGCCAGTAAAAAGCCATTTCAGCCTGGTGGCATCCTCTCCACAGAGTGGGAGGCAGGGACCATGTTGTCATTCTACTTATGTCTCCTTTGGTACCCAACACGTAGCCCCCAGCAGTTTCATTAGAAAACAGTTATCAGTCAGTTAATCTCATTATCTTTTTGGTAGCCATCAGTATTACCAATTATTATTATTTCTTTGTTAAGAAAAAAGTACAAATTAGCTTATCCTTTTCCCCAGAAGGCCTCGTTTCTTTTCATCCAATTTATCATTTTGTTCCTTCCTCATTCTGAAGAGCTGGCAACTGTGCCGCCCTTAGGAGCAGGGCCAGTCTGCTTTCTGGGTATCTTGGCATAAAGAAAAACTCGGTGCTGCCCCACTTTGTTAGCTGTGTTTCTGCCAGGGCAGTTGTCTGTGCACAGACTGGTCTCTCACTGCTCCGTAGGGAGGGTGGATTCCTTCCCAGGGGTGTGGAAAGGGCTGGTTGGATAATAACCATGTAAATCTGAGGTCGAGGGAGTCCACACATACTAGGAAATAGCGCCAGAAACAGGACCAGTAGTGATGAGTCGTTGTAGGACTTGCCAAAGGAAAACCCACACAAATGTACAGATCAAAGAAAGGTGTGTGCTAAGTGCTTAATTTTGAAGTATGCAAGATGCATTTCCCTTTGTGGTTAAAAAAAGAAGTAATCCAAAACTTTCCCCACATTTAATGCAACTGTAATCTCACAGATAACCAGGGAAAGCAAAAAGGGAGTGAACCGGCATGAAGTCAGGAGATTTATATTCTTATGATGTCAGGTGAGATGTATGCTAAAGGTAACAGCACTGGGCTCTTCAGTGGTAGGGTGCTAGGCCTAGTATATACGAGGCCCCGGGTTCAATCGCCAGGACTACCATTGCCCTACATCCCCACCCCAAAACAACTAAAAGTGAAAAATTTTATCCTTTCCAAAGACTGTCTTAAGAAATAAGTTTTGGGGTCTGGAGTTGTAATCTGTAGGAAAGTACATGCTTAGCATCCATGAGGCTATAGATCCAACCCCCTACACACACAAACCTACATGTCTTGAATGCAGAAAAGGCAGCAAATAAAGACAGCAAACAATATCTCTAGGCCTGAGACCTGATTCCTTTTCAAAGTTCATTGATGGCCACCTTGCTCAGCACGGGCTTGGCATCTTCTACCAACTAAGCTACACCCCCAGCAGATGAGTCACTTGTGTGAGAATCCACTGATCTCCACCCACTCCCTCACCTGGGATCAGAGGCAGTGATCCACCTTCTCCCACCCTGAGCCCGGGTGGGACAGATGCCTCTCTCTAATGAACTGTGCTCCGTACCTGCTTTTCTCCTAAGCACAAGGTTTGGGGTTTGAGTGGGGTAAGGTTAATTTTTATTTAAGAGACGCTCTCTCTTGCATTGGGCCAAGAGAAAAGAGACTTCTTTTATGCTCTGAAATTCCCTTTCCCTTGCTGTTTATGATGAATTGGAACCTCTGGTCAGAATAAGAATCAAAAGAGGGGATAGGAAAGCCCACAGAAGACACCAGGAACAAACAATGCCAACAGCTGGGCTTCCTGGCCCAGATTCGCTAACAAGCATTTCATTCTTCCCTACAGCAAAGTCTGCTCGAGACGGGTGAAAATTCCTGTACAGGATAAGTGCATCTGAAGCTGGACTCCTGAGATCATTCTCTCATCCTTGTCTGCTTCTTCCCTCCCCAGGGCCACGGGCTTCGGCTTCCTGAACGCACTCTGTAAGGCGGCAGCAGTGCTGGGCAACCTAATATTCGGCTCCCTGGTGAGCATCACCAAAGCCATCCCCATCCTGCTGGCTTCCACTGTGCTGGTGTGCGGAGGACTTGTGGGGCTGCGTCTGCCTGACACACGAACCCAGGTCCTGATGTGACGGGAACCAAAGCCATGCTCCGTGCTCTTCCTCCTCCTGCCCTGGGTCGAGTCTCTGGATGTGCTTAAGGCTTGGGATTTTTCATGTCTAGAAAAGTGGTCAAATATCAGAACACAACCTGTTGCTGTGACTTAAAATGTAGACGCGTATCATCTTCCCCTTCCATGTGATTTTGCACGGGTTTATTTTTCATGCATTGTTATCTTTCCTGACTGTGACACTGCTGCCTCCCAAAATAGCAGGGAAAGAACTGCTAAAATGTCCTAGTTGGCCAGGCCTCCCTGGGATGCTGCTCATTGAAAGTTCAGACACTAAGCAAAAGCCTGTTGTTGTAAGAAATAGATCCTGCTCCGAAGGCAACATTAGCAGGAAATATACATTGGCATATTATTACAGTTTTGCTGAAGAGAGGGATTCTTTTCTCTCTCTTTTCTTTTCTTTTTTTTTCTCAGAGTGCTATTTCCTGTTTACTTAGAAAAGGACACCCAGCAATTTTTGCTATTACAGCAGGGCCTTTCAAAGAAAACCATGTGGTACACACAGGCTTGGGTGGGGCTCTTTCAAGCAGACAATTAAGGTAACTGTGCTGACAAGGAAAACAAAGGCTCAAGCAGTTACCAGCAAAAACCAGAGCGAGCAGAAGCAAGTTTTCTGACAGGAAGCCCGATTAGACGTCTAAAGTCTGAGGTAAAAGCATCATAGCGGTGTCGGGGATTGGGGTGTGTACGTAGTTCACACTGCCTCAGACTCAGTTTGCCTCCATTTACCCCATCCTCACCCACGTCCCAGGCTGCCGTGGATACTTGTCAGGCAGATTTAGAAAAGGAGAGAATTGCTTCCTAAAAACCACCTCTGAGCCAGGCATGGTGGCACAGGTCTGTAATCCCAGCCCTCTGGGCAGCTGAGGCAGGAGGATCGTAAGTTAGAGAGCCCAGCCTGGGCAGCTGAGTGACTTTGTTGCCTCAGTGCAATGACTCTGCGTTCAACTCTCAGTATCACCAAAAAATAAAAATATCTGCCTTCCTGATTTTGCTCGTCAGACCAACTTCTGTAATCTAGAGAATGTTAGTGAATATCTAAATTGTAATAAATTGAAAATTAGGAAGAAATTTACACCTAAAACCACTGGAAATGCCCAATGGCACCTCTTCCTGTGCCTGTTTTCTAAGACTAATCTCATCCAAGCTCCTCTGGTGGAAGTTGGAGTTTGCCTTCCTTCCTGGCATCATGGAAGCACATGCTCCCTCCAAGCTCCACCTGGGCTGGCACTTGGTCCCAGAACAGGCTTGTATCCAGAGGGGCCTCCAGCAGACTTGGGTAGCATCTCCTAGCGGCCATTGGCCTGCTCACTTTACCTCTGGAGTCTCCGTGGGCTGGGAAGCAAGAGGTCACCAGGACACTCCCACGGGCTGGCTGTCAGTTACTCAACCTTCTCTCTCTGGGGCTGACCCTCCCCCAAGTGCATCCCTTTTACACATCGTTGAAACCAGAAGCCTCCTTGTAGACTTGCAGCCAGGAAATCAATCCCATATTTAACAAGATTCCTTTTTTAACTCTCCATGTCTTGTTGGAGAGTGAACCTCATTAGCACTTCTAAGATCTCACAGGAAGGGGCAGGCTTTTGTTTCCACTCATCTTCACATCAAGAGAGGTCCTCACTCCCTGAGCGCACCCCCCACACCTCAGGGTCTTCTCTTCTCTTCTCCTAGGGATCCTTCTTGAGCTGGCACTGAAAAGTGTCTGTCATCCACATATGTCATGAATCAATGGGGCCAGTAGAGAGGGCAGCCAGAGTGGGGTTGTGGCGGAAAGCAGGTGTCTCCCTGGGGAGGTATGCATGTGATAGGGCCAGAACACCTAGAAAACTCAAACCAAAATCTGCAGGGGTGGAAGAAAGAAGGAAAATCAGTAAAGACTGGACATGATTTATTTGAGAGATAGCAGCAAAGTAGGGTAAGAGACAGAACCCCACCCCACACTTCTGCCTCCTATTGTATTATTGGAGAACGAAAGACTGCAGTCAAGAACCCAAGAAAGTACCCTGTATGTTTTTCTGTTTCCATGTGGACTCATTTCCCCACTTCTCTACCCCTTGGTTCCTCTTCTTTACAAAAAGACCTACTGGGGAGCAAGCAGGGCTTTTAGTTAAATGAGTCATGGGCAGAATAACTTAAAAAGATGAGTCCATCCACCGTGCAAAACAAAGGCAGAAATGTGCATGGGTGTCACTCTTGCTACTTGTCCATGATAGGTAATTTTGCTTACTAGACTATCTTTTTGTTTTTAAAAAGTCTTTATTGTCCATTGTAGATTCTAAATGTATAAAATATCTACCAAGCTGTGGGGTAAAGATATTCAGAATTTTATCTGATCACTGGACCTGGCCAGCAGGACCCTATTTTATGAGGCCCACCACCCTGTGTCCCTTTCAAAAGGACCATGCTTGGCCTTCTTATCATATAAACTGAGCCTCCTGGGTGGCCCAAGAGGGATCTCTTCTAATCTTCTGGACAGTGTGTGGTCACAAACCTTCTTGGTCACCACCTTTTCCACTTTCCATACACTTTCCTTTGCCTCTTCGACTCAGTTCATTCCCTTACTGTCTGTGAGGGCTCCTGTTGCTTCTGAAGGTGTGTGGTATGGCTTGCTGGGCTTATTTGTGGTGTAGCTGAGGATTAGGGTAGAACCATGAGATTAAACAGAACTCACAGTTGTATGAGGATAAGTGGTCCCTGGCACTTGGACACACAACTACCATCTCATTTCATCTACAGTAGAAGGAAAATGAAAGTATAAAGTGAAAGCCCAGCAAACAATCCCACTTGCTCCTGTATTTCCAACTCTTTTTCTAACTAAAATTTCCTCTTAGCTATTTAGAAATGATTTAGAGTCCTGTTACTCCCGAATCTTGTTACTGTCACTGAATCTTCTTAGAATGAATAACAAACAGCTCCTGTAAATTAGGATTCTGCACCACCTTATCCCCAGCTATTAGGTCTTCAGGCATCAACTTGCTCCCAGTCCTGCTGCCTGATTCATGACCCGGAGAGATAAGACCAATGGGTCCCACACAAGCTCTGCCACTGGGGAGTGGTGAGCCCCAGATCTTACTTGAGATTGAAAAATTTTAGTCCTCAGTTTTTCCATGGCTAGGGTTGAAGACTGGGCTACTGTGCTTTCCAAGTTCTAGAGGATTGCGATGAAAATAGCTTCTCTTCTCTATCGTCCACTGAACCAACACTAAGGTGGTACCATTTACACACTGAAAACTTTTAAAAATAAGCAAGTATATAAGGGGCCAAGAATTTGCTTGGGAAGGTCTTCTGGAACAGTCCAGAGAGTGAAGCTCTTATGATGTTTGTGCTGCCCCCTCCTCGCAGTCCTGAGCTTTATGTCAATGCAGAGCAGCTGGATGGTTACCATGGCCCAACCAGGGAAGGGTCCCACCCTGGCGGATGTACCTACAGTTAGAAGACTCTCCAACCACAGCGCTACCACAAAGGCTGAATCCCACAGCTCCTCCAACTCCATTGGTTTCTTGAAACGTGGCCTTAAGTAGACCCAGGCCATCAGAAACAGAGCTTCTCAGTGATTTGACCTCACTTGGGAAAAGTACCTGCACTTACAAGTCTCACCAAATCAGAGTTCAGGTCTGCACCTAGAACTCGTTGGTGTTTTTCAGATTATCTTAAGGGTTTGAGGAGAGGTGGGAAAAGAAATGTGGTGGTGGAGGAAAAGTCCAAGACACCATTGATAAGATTTAAGGGACAAGGTGAAGCCACTGCAGAGACATTCTAAGCCTTGGGATTGTTCCCAGTACATCCCATGGGAAACCAAAGCAGAATATGATACTCTCCCACTTTTTCTGTTTAATATCAAAATGGTCTTTATCTGTTTCTTCATAAGACACCTTACTCACTCATGCGTAGATGTTTCGTGGAGCCAGGAACATCTGATTTTGGCCTTCACCTAGAATCACAGGAGAAAAACTGCATGCTCTGTTATTCAGAGATACACTGGATGCATATCGAGTTTCCTTTTAATTCCCAGATTATGCCAAACCGAGTCTGACTGCCATACCTACAGAAACACCAGTCGTGTTGTGACAGCAAAATCTACTCAGTCAGGCATTCTGAAGTGAACCATCATGGACACATTTGTTAATTTTTGTTCCTACTGAGCAGTGTTTTGAGCAAAGCATCTCTTGTACCCTGTGTAATGCAGACCAAAGAAAATGGTCAGTGTCCTCTGGGAGCAGGGCGTCTTGTGGGAGGAGTGGAGTGATCATTTGTACCATTTGTGGTCTTCTCTCCCTGTCAGCAGTCTGTTCCAACCAAACACAGGATGGTTTGCCCAAACTCCCGCCATCTTTCTCCAACAACACCTAGAGCCAGCTTAGCATTTCCAGCATTTGGAGTTGTAAGAGTTCAATTCAGGAGTCTACGTAGGTACTAATGAAGGGTAGGGGAGAGGGCTGACTTTCATGTGCTTATTCCCTTCATGAAGCACCTCCCCATGTGCTAGGTATCCAGGCACTGAGCTGTGTGCAGATAATTAGTCCTTTGCTGAGTTTAAATAAGAGCAGGAAAGTGGATTCCCCACCTTACTTTTTAAGCTCCTTACCCCATCTTGACAAAGTGCATTTTTTTTTTTTTGCATTAAAACTATGTAGCAATTAGGATTACTTTTGACAGAGAAGACCCCTTCATTGGCTGGCCTTTGTTGGAGGGATACTAACCAGTCCTTGGCAAATGAGGAAAATAGGCCCCCACATATACTATGTCTTTAGGAAGTTGTGCTAAGACACTATTCAAGGAAAAGAGCAACAGAGGTAACCCCGTCTTTCTAGAGATGCTTGTTTCTTCTTAGCTTCTTTTCAAGGTCTGAAGTGGAGAATGTTTCCAAGCTGTAGGCTGGGGTTTTCTCTGCAGAGCCCTGGCAGCCAACTGCTACTTCCCTGGCCCCTGCCTCCCAGTGTTACCTTTCTGATGTCGGGATTTGTGGCTGAGTAAAGCTGTCTTTGCATATACCCTAGAGCAGCTTCCCCTTCTCCACCTCCAACAGATAAGCTGCCCAGAAAACAGGTTCTGACAGCACTCGCTGTGCCTGGGCACTTGGAGGCTTCAGCTTAAAACCAGTGCTCGATGGTTGCCAAGTGTCTTTCAGCTGCAAAGGACTTTTGGGGTCTGGGGGCCGAAAAGGAGCAGGACCAAGAGAAGGCTGTTGTCAGGGACCTGCCTGCCTTCAGTCTCCACCAACTCTGCTCTCTGTGCTTTAGCACTACATAGTCCCTTCATCCCTTTGCTTCATGTTCTTCTTCCTCTTTCCCTTATCTTGTCACCTCCTGACTGCACAAAAGTATGGCTGGGCTTTCCTAGGGCACTGGGGACTGAGTAGCATGCCTGTTTCTGCCTGTCATAGATGCACAGAGGATAGAGAACGTGGGGAACGGGAAAGTGTGAGAGTATGAGCAATGGCCTAGCTGGATCTGACAGAGCTCCTGTCCCAGGCTAGGTTTCCACCTGCTTCCCAAGCACTCCTGAAAGAGGGGGGCATCCCCAGCTAGGTGCGTGGTGCTCACTGATGCTTGGGAGGTAGGCAGCACCTACTTCTCTGGGTCTGTGTAGGACCCGACTTGGTGCTGGGGGACAGAGGTGGCCAACTTTCAGCCTCTCCTTCCACATTAGGGCCAACCTCAGAGCCATGTCTGGCTACAACTATGAGGAGGAGAAAGCAGACAGAGGCTCTTCATTCAGACTCAGACAGGGTCAGACCTGGGCCAAGGATGTGCTCAGCAGCAAGGGTGAGTCCTAAGCAACTGGTGGCTGGCCGATCACAAGGACTGTGGTCCTGGGCCAGCGAGGGGCTACAACCACCCAGTTCATCAGAGCCAAATGTCAGTTTCAGGACTCTTCAGAGGCTGAGAAACATAGCCACTTGTGAAAGCACCAGTTGATACATATTCAAAACATATCACATTCTACTTATTTGGCACCTTTGGCTGCTTCTATGCCCTGAGGTGATACATGACTGTTACATCTGTGTGGGAGAAGTACTTCATTCACATGCACCCTGAACAAGACCCACAGGGCAGAGAGTCCATGCTTTCTTTGGGTGTTGCTCCTGCAGGGAGAATGCACAGTGAATTGGCTATTTTATGCTGTGCAAATCAAATTAAACTAGTTGGAAATTACAAAGTGTCTTCCTCTGAGGCCCAAGTAGTTTATCAAAAAGGAAACTTTCCTCACCTTTGACATTCCCCAGACCTGCCTAGGTACAGCTTGACAGATTGGCTTGATTTCATTTCCACCATGGTGATTGCTGCATATTTATTACACTGAATCTAATTCAGTAAAAGAAAAATGTTCTTTTCTGATATGTACTTTCCAAAATGTGGTTGTGTATCCTCCCACTGAGCCAGGAACACACTGAACAAACCATATGTCCTTTGTAAATGTCTACATACTGCCAGCGGAGTCCTAGAAGAGTTTCAGGTGTGCGTCCATTCGCGACACTTGGGAAACCTCCATGCCTACCTTCTTTGTGAGGGGATCTCGGTGGGGATCCTGTCCTGGATTTCTGCCTGGGTGTGTTGCTTCGTGTCCTTTTCTTTCCTGTGTTTAATGCTGTGTAAGCTGTCCTGCTCCGTGTGTTCCCTGCTAAACCCACTGTACTGTATATATGTGCTGCATGTGTGCAACTCAGTAAGTTCCTTTTCAGGTTTCTGGACTTTTCATCTTAAGTACAAATGATCCTGCTGTGAACTCATCTTTCTGGTATGCTCCTCTGTGTCTGATTTCTATTGCCCAAATTTTGGACCAAGAGTGTTTTCACAGTATCCCGAGACAGCCGTGTGTGCCCCCGTGAAAGGGCATGTTCCATGTGGGATGGGTTGTGTACAGTATAAATCTATCACATGTGGAAGTATGTATACATTTATGTGCCAGACAACTAATACTCATGTAACAGCTGCAGAGATATTTAATGTACGTCAGATTAATAAAAGAGCATTTTTTGCTCTATTATATTCAAATAGAGATTGTCGTGTGATTGACTTATCTTCCAAACATGAAATGACCCTTAAAAATGAACACGTTCTTATGTCCTTAGGTAGAGGGAAACCTGTTTCTCTGATGCCAGATACCTTGAGGTGCTTATGTGGCCAGTGTCTGGGGTACTGATGTGTTTTTTATTTTACAGCAACACTTTCCAGTTGTTAGCCAGAACCACAGGGAGGAGAATGTCTGTGGGGGAGTTTGTGGCCAGGCAGATGCTTGTGTTCCTCTTCCCTGGAGCAAGAATAGCAAACAGATTTCTATCTCAAATATTAATTCCAAGTAGTTGGCAGTGACTGCTTTGGGTAACAGAGAGAAAAGGTGCTATATTTGATGGTATTCATGGAGAGGCAGAAACACAAACTGCAATGCCATGTTTGCTCTTCCCAAAAGAATACTTCTGACTGCACCAAACAGAAAACCCAAGTGTCATTTCTTAACAGAAGACCCAAGTGTCCAGAGCAATCAGTTGGTGAGTGATGCCCTCAAAGTTGTGTCCTTGCTCCCCTCTGGGTTCTTTCTCCTGGGACCTGCTCACTTCCTCCCACCATGGCTCATTCCTCGTTTCTATAGCAACTCTGGGTCCCTAGCCCATTTAGCCAAGCAGGTGTTAGCCTGCAGTCTCCAGTCTCCAGCCACTCCAGATTGAGGCTCTCTTTCATATTTTCTTTAAGCGTGACTATCAGGCTGAACTAGGTCCTGCATTTAATTTTCCAGCACAAAAAATAAAAATAAAGAAACATACTGGTCACTTGTTTTCCTTTGCTGCTCCATGAGGAGGACTTTGTGGTAGGAGAGAAGACCACAGAGGCTAGAAACCCCAGCAGTGTCTGAGACGGAGGTAAGCAAAAAGATTCCCCAGAGAGTGCTGGGGTACAGGAGAGCCAGGCAAGGACCACGTGGCTCATGACCTGTCCTGCTCCACTAGTTAGAGAGTCTCTGGGTGCGACTCCTGGCAACCAGTGTTGTTACCCCAAGGTAACACATGGCCGGAAAGTAAGCTTTTCCTCCTTACTGGTGTCAGATGCAGTGAAGTTGCTGTTGTTTTTTTCTGTAGTCTGCTAGGTCTATCATAACCAACTACCACATATAGCAGCTTGAACAACCAGGAATTTATTTTCTTAATCTTGGGGATGGCAGATTTCTGAGATAAGGTGGTGGGTACTTTTGGGTTCTTCTGAGTCCCCTCTCCTTGCCCTGTCAATGGTCATCTTGTCCAGTGTACTCACATGGTCATTCTTTTGTACATCTTAGTCCTGCTCTCCTCTTAATGAGGACACAGTTATATTGGCCAAGGACCCACCCATGTGGCCTCACTGTAACTAAACACCTCTTCAAAGATCCTATCTCCAAGCACAAGCACATTCTGAGATCCTGGAGATTAGGACTTCTACAGTTCAGCCTATGACATTGTCCCAAATATGCTTTGCATTGTTGTGTGTGTGCATTGTGCATGGGTTTCTTCACACATATAGAATATGTTTGGATGTACCTGTGGTCATGTGGGAGGGCAGGTGGTGTGAGCTCTGTGGATATATTCACACTTACAAAAGATGTCCATCCAGAAGGGAGATAGAGAGATTGAGAGTTACTCATAAGCAGGAAGCAAATTCTAAGGCAGAACCCAGGGCACGCTGGCCAGGCTCTGAGGCCTGTGTCAGGCCATTCTTAGACCTGTACCTATTTGTCTCTTCCTGCCTTGCTGCCCTTTAAAATTCCAAAGGAGAACTTAAATGTAGCAATAAAATTAATTTTTTAAAAATTCCAAAGGAGGCTTTGTTCTGTGTGATGACTTTCTTTAATCCTGCCATCAGTGGTTACATCCTTCTCCCTCTACCACAGCCTGGGAACCATAAGGAACAGCCTGGCCCCACAGAAGCTGCCACCAGGACTGTGACCAGCTAGAGCTCTGGTGGCTGCAGAGGGAGCCAGAGGGAGCCAGAGGGAGGCTGCTTCCTGGAGCTCTACTGCACAAGTCCCGGCCACTATTGTAATCTTGGTCATCTCCTGTAGTTTGAAGTCCAGACACCAGGGGGAGAAGTGGAACCCAT